TTGTATTAAACCCTAAAAAGTCAAATAATGAGAAAAATTTATAAGCAAAGGGAATATGAATAATTTACTTAAATAGCTCTAAAACATAATGACTTTCTCCAAATAGCATCATACGAGTATATATTTTTTCCCAATGTAACACTCTTTGTCATTATCTATTAGTCATTATTCAAGTAATGTTTGTCATCATTGGATATTATACATTATTAGGTGTTATTTAGAAAATAAAATAATTTAAGTACTATTTAGGAAAATGATTTAAGTTTTAGTGCTATTTAGTGCAAATATTTCATATCATATATATGGTTGTATCTATTTTCGTGTATAATGTACACAATCTATGAGTGTGCGCAAAAAATGAGGGTTTTTATGCAATTAAATTTTATTTTTCCATGATTGAAAATGTTACCAGCAACAAAATGAAAAAAAAAATTCAACGACAAAATAAGCATTGTGTAATTATTAATTATTAAATATGAATTGCATATTATGTATGCTCTATAAATATAGGAGTATAACAAAGTAAATTTACGAAATAAATAAATGTGCATATGTAATGTGAATCGGAATGCACAATATAAGAAGTCAAGTAAGAGAGTTGTATAGCTAAATCAAAAGAGTAGAGACAATTAGAGTTTTACTCATTTATTTTTTCACAATCTTTTGAAATGCTTTGGTATTTATATACTGGCCTGGGATAGGTACATATATGAAACATTTAAAAACTATATATCAAAATAAATATAATGACGTAAAAGGGTTTATACTAAATCTATGAAAACTATTTTGACCGTGACAATGTGGCATTGTAGATTTACATTTTAAATATGTTTTTTTTTTGTACAAATGATATTATATGTTGTCATTATTCGCATTGTACGGAGTAAGTCCTGTTTTTGGGTGGAAGATTTATTTACCTAGTTTATAAGGAGTGAAGTGTAAATTATTTGAAACACAAGGACAAAAGTGTATATCTTGAAGAAATTGGGGAGATATTTGAAAGGTAGTATGTGGAGGACAGTAATATATATGACTGAGAGATTCCAATGCAGCAGGTTCAATAGGGCCCTGTTTTGTTTGATATCCATGGAACCATTGGCAAGTGGTATCAATTCAAATTTTGAAAAAAAAAACCGTTTTGTTTCATGAGTAGTTTTTTAGAATCTTTCTTGGCAATTTTTTCCGTGGTCTTAAATTCTTTGGTTATTTTATGCACTTTAGTGTATTGATATTATAAAGTAATTGAACTTTTTGCAAAAAAAAAAAAGAAAAAATAACGACCTACTTGACAGTCTATGAAAAATATGAGAAAGCTCATATTTAAATATGAATCGTAGGAGCACGAAAGAACAACTATCTTTGTTAGTAGAACTTGGCCCCACTCTGGGACACTCTAACATAACTCATTCAACTTTTATGCCTTGTTTGGTGCAATAAGTTTTGGTTAAAATTATTGAAGAAAAATATAAACTTCTTTTCAATTAAGGTTGCGTTTGGTCCAAAAAATCATCACTTTTATTACTCCATTTATTTTATAAAACAGTTCATCTTTCTCTTTTTTCGTTTTCTCAGAACACTTCCATTTTTGTAAATTTAAAATTCAAACTTTTAATTTAAAAATTAAAACTAACAATTTAAAATTTAGAAACTAACAGTTTCATTTTCATATAATGTTTAGCAACAGCGTTTGTGATTAGTGTTTTAAATAATTTTTTATGTTTACATTAAAAATTAAGATGATATATATATATATGAACCAAACGCTCCCTACATCTTAATAACACGAACTCTATTTATAGAAAGCATGTGACGCTCATAAATAAGCATAACGACATAAGTAGAGCTTATAAGCCAATTTGTTACAGCTCATAAGCATATGCAAGCAACTTGTAGGGCGTGTTTGGACGGAGTTACTTGTCCAATTCCAACTCTAACTTGTCAACTCATGCAATGGATATGAAACACATTTAAGTTCCGTCTGGTACACAAAATTCAAATTATAAAATTAGAATTGATGACAATAATTTCAATTCTATCGTTTGGTATCACAAAAAAATGTGAATTTGGAATTGGTAGTGTAAAAAATAAATTAGTCAATTCAGTGTACCAAACGGACCCTTAAGGGTTTTTGCCCTACCTAACTCAAACCGGTGCCGTTAAATTCACAACTGTCTGTGAATTCGTTCACCCGGACATACTTATCACAAGACATAAAAATTCCAAACGATCCGACAATCTTTCATGATTCATTATATTTAAATAAATAGAAATCAACGTGTAGAATGAAACAACGCCAAATCATTTGCGAAATATTGCAAGTGAAATATCAAACATTCACAATGGCATAATGTACTATAGTGTACAAGTGTGCAACTTGAGCTGCTACAACACAATGAGTATTATTAGCATCTGCAGACATTGTGAATTTGTGGAGAAGTTCTTAATTAATTGCCTAATAAAGAGGCCTTAATGACACTCTCATTCAAGAACATCTCTTAATCCATATGATACAATAACCAATGGTTAGCACGAATCAATACCAAACAAACAACACGCCTAGTAAAATTCAACTATTAAAAGTAAGGCCTAAAGAGACTGTGTGCACAGACTTTACCCCTACTTGATAGTGGAGAGGCAGCTAACGCCAATCAATACCCCTCTTCACAAATGATATCTCTTTTTTATTTACCAGAATAATTAAAATCTAGTGAAATTCCACAAAAACAAACTGGGGAAAGTGTGTACGCATACCTTACTCCTACTTTGTAGTAGAGAGACATCAAGCACAAATCAATACTCATCTTCACAAATGGTACAACAACCGACAACTAGCATGAACCAATACCCCCACTATGGTACAACAACCGATAGCTAGCACGAATCAATATCAAACAAACTCAGTGAAACCACATAAGAAGTAGGGTCTGGGGATAGAGTATACGTGTACCTTCTTACCCCTACTTGGTAGCACGAATCAAAACCCTTCTTCACAAATGGTCTCTTTCTTTTTATTTACGAGAATAATAAGGCACGCAGATTTGGAAGATGTGTTTAGTCCCTTCGTCCTCTCTTCGAGTAGTCCATTCTAATGGCCCATAACCGCTCGGCAATGGTCCTCATATCTGGGCGGTCAGCCCGGGTAGGCGCTGCACATTGGATGGCTAACTCGAACATCCTCACCATTATCTCCCTGTCTACCCTTTCCCTCAAAGAAGGGTCCAACATGCCCGTCACGTCCCCTTCCTTAAACTTCTGAAACACCTGCTTCATCAAATAAATGGTGGTGACTCCCAAGGGTTGAAAAAGGAAAAGAAAATTATTAAAGAATCAATGAAAGGCTCCGTTTAGTAGCGTTTTTTTTGCATAGTGTGCAAAACATGTCGTGTATGATCAAGCCATCAAGGTACAGTTTTTTTATTTATTTATTTTGGAAAGGTAAAAACTCTTGACGTTATAGAATCCTAGTTACTCCTTGTGTCCTTAAATAACTGTTCATTAGTTAAATGCATTTTGTTAACAAAAAGTGCTCAATTAACAACTCAATAGAGTAAATCCTAGAAAAATGACCAAGTTGTCCTCGTATTGACAGGTCAGAATTAATTCTTGCCTTAAAGAAAAACAAAATTTCCTTGATACTGGACAGTAATTTGAGAACAAAGGGGATATATTTTTAAATCTAGTTTCTAGTTTAACTAACCTTTTTTCATACTGAACAAAGTTATGTGAACAAATAAACAATTAACTTTGTTTTATGAAACGGGTCTCTTTTGGGGACAAATACAAACCTTTTGAAACATGACTTTTTTACAAAGCACTCCGTAAGACACAATACAAAATTTAAAAACTATGAGTAAACATTCTGTAAAAAAAGAGGGGGTTGTTTTGACCAATGAATAGTAACTAAGATGGTAAAATAAGACAGAAGAGAGAACTATATTTACCCATCTGAGTGTCACTCTCTCATCAGGATGTTTGTTCATCTCCACAGGCCGGCGACCAGTTAGGATTTCTAACAACAAAACCCCGAATGAGTACACATCACTCTTTGGGCTGAGTTGATACGTCTTCATGTACTCCGGGTCAAGGTAACCAACGGTTCCCTTGACTTTGGTTAAGAAATGTGTTTTGTCAGTGTCTGGATCGCCCAGCCTTGCGAATCCAAAATCTGCAACCTTGGCCCGCATACTCTCCGTTAAGAGAATATTGGATGACTTCACGTCTCTATGGATGATTGGCTTCTCTGAGATACATATATTAAAAATTGAATGTTGTTGTATTGTGAGAAATGCTAAAACACAATATCTAAAGAAAACAAAAGAAGTGAGGAACCGGAAAGGCGGGGTGAATCCTTGAAATTGCAAAATGGAAATATTTTCTGATGGATTTTCTACTGAACTCAAATAACATTCCATAGAAAGAGTACAATATATACAGTGAACAACTACCCCGTAGTATAAGAAGTTAGATAACTATGAGGAGAATAAGACATGGGGTTCATGTGTGCGCGCACAAACCTTACCCCCACTTGGATAGTAAAAAGGTCGTTTCTAAGAGACTCCTAGCTCAAAACACAGGACGAGAACGACACGCACAAGCAACACGAACAAAATAAAAGCATAGATAAAAGAACAGAAACTAGAACTCAGACACAGAACACACTTACAGAAGTTCTATAATACAAAGGCTAAGAAATCAAAATATATGTATAAACCCATCTTCCTTGGTATTGTTTT